CTGTTAAGTCTGAAAATGAATGTTACTGGGAATAGGGTTTCGGTTCTGTTGTAAGGCTATGTAAAGGCTGTGTTTAACATGTTTTGACATAGCTGAAGCTCTGAACTATGTAGTAATGCCATGAACTGCAGGCAATCCTATTAGTTCAAAGAGAACCCGGTGACAAGTAGGGACTTTGCGCTTGATCAGGCATGTCATGTTGCTCTGGCAAAGGTCCATATTTGTGGATGCTTCATAGGGAAGCTTGTAGAGGTTGGGTTGCGTAAGTCTGAACTTTGTGAGGACGTATCAGTTACCCTCACATAGATTGGAATGACCCTTACCCACCAGTAGATCTATGACCTCCAATGCCTTCCTCGCAATCCAAATGTATTCAATCTCGTAGAGAGGGCTGTGGATTTTACTTGTAAGTACACTTCTCCTGATCTTTTTAGGTACAGCCTCACAACTGTAGTACACATACTCCCTATCACTGTCTCCACTTTCTTCGTTGCCGCTGCCTTTACTATCTTCAAATTCTTCTTGATCAATCTGCCATCCTGACAGACAGTTGCATTATGGATGGTCTCAAAAGTTAACGGGTGTTGTCTCACTCTAGAGAAGACAAATCAAGTATTTTAAGAAATCAGTTTCCCTCTGTTTAAGCCTTTGGAAAGCTTCCTAGGATGCAAATCATGGCTAGTTACATAGAATCAACCATTTACTTGAGAGTAAACATGTAATCATAACAAGCAACATCAATACTTCTCACAAACAAGCTTTCCTTGACAGATGCCACAAAAGGCAATACATTTCAGTTAGGTTAAATACTAGAGCTTTAATCGAAAAACAAGATGAGAAAGCTTTTAATAAAAGTTCTCTCCTCAGTACCCACCATCTATGTGAGCAGGTCCTGAAGACTAAAGGTCATTAATAATAACCCACGCAACAAGAATAGCGTTCACACACTTATTAATACAGAACGTTTTAAGAATACTTTTATCAGTAGACTTATCTGTAGATATAAACTCAATAGTTTATAAGTTACGATTTTCTTTATTATTATTTAATTTCTCTTCTTGCTGTGAAAAGTATGTAATATAAGATATGTAGTTTTTATCTTATGAGAAATAAATAACAATTATTCACCGAAGTGGAGGTGGCTAGTCCTGGATATTTACCGAACTGCGAAGCAGTGAGGTAAATATCCACGACTAGCCACCGACACTGAGGTGAATAATTGTTTTAGTATATACTAAAACAGTGAGATAATTGAGCACAAAAATGACGATTTTTAACTCAAATACTGTTGCCAACGATTACAATTTTGGCGCGTAATGACCGGGCGGCCGCGGCCGTCGCTTTTTCTTGCCGACAATTAAAACTTTTGAAGGCATTTGTTTAGCTCTTGCGGGAAAATTTCTTCAAAAGGAGTTGTGAATTCTTTTTGTATTTAAAATCATTCTATAAAAAAAGATTATTAAATTTAGTTTTAAGCTTATTTATGAACAACTCAACTAAATAAATTAACGCAAGACTTAAACTTAATTTGCATTTGTAAACAAAAAACTTTTTCACCGGTTTTATCGATAAATTCGTGTCAAAAAGTCAAAGTTTTACCTATTAAAACTTCCAATCCGAACTTCGTCACCTTCTTCGTGTATTTCGGAAACAGCTTGCTTGATTAGTTGTGAAATTTCTTTGTTTGCTTACGGCAGCAAACCGGGAAGGCATTTTGCTCGCAACTTACGCGAGTTTGGCGTCGCTCGCTCGGAGGAACTGGAGGTGAATCAGTGAATAGTGCAGGATATTCACTGATTGAGTAGCCAATCAGAGCGCGCGAAAAACGCTATCCACTGTTTTAGTATATACTAAAGACATTTATTATTGTTCTTCTTATTATTATAAACAAATCGTGGCCAGACAAACAAACATTTTGGCCCAAATGTCTTAGATTCTAAAATTTGTTACTTTGGGTTTCATCTTTATAAAGTTAATATAGCTTCCACGTTATTCAGTTTAATTCCCTTTTCCCCCCTCACGGTGTAGTAATTTACCTTTTCTTGTTTAAACAAAATTTTTCTGACCAACGTTAAATTTGTTTTCGTAAGTAGGCTTATGTGAAGTCTAGATTATAATTGTTGCCGGCGCGACATGGCTATTTGAAGCTCTTTTGAAATCTTTCGTCTCGTTAAAAACAGATTCTCGCATTTGAAAGCCCTATTTTATAGAATCAACCTTAAAAACTTGTGTTTAATTGGCAAATTTAGGGTTCAAAGGTAAAAAAAAAGCTTTTGGCAGTCCTTTTGCTAATTTCACTCGCATAAACAAGTTTACACAACGAGTGATTCGCTTCACTGCGTATTCGGGGAAACCCCATTTTCATTTTCACTTCCATTAAAAAGCCATCGTGAATGGCGTATTCTTACGAACCAGGAATCAGCCGAAACAATTAGAGAAGTGTTAAAATGATGGATTAAAGATTAAAGAGCAATTATAATTATGTTAGAAACGCCTAAGCAACCTGTCAAAATATTTGCGCATCACCTGTCACAGATCACTCGATCCACGCAATCAACTTTGAATCTATTTCGCTACACCCAATGCGTCGGCATTTGCGAGGGATTTTAATTAAGGTTAATAATAATTACAGTGAATACATTACAAAGACAACAGCTTACCTTTGGATAAAGTACTGGTCTGTTTTCCGCTTCATTTCCCAAGTGTCAAAGGCCACCAATGTATATCATGCAATGTCATCACGGTAAATGCACCCATTGGCAAATCTGGTTTGGTGTATCCTTCGCAATTGAATTGAATGGCAGGGACAGAATGAGCTGAACTTGTAGAGGTTTTCATTAGTAACACCAGAAAAACGCATGGGCGGAAATACCCTTTTTTGGGGGAGGATTCAGCTGTTTCCAATAAAAAACAAATTCTCACATGTACTTCACACGAATTGCAGTTATTTGATACATCGGTGACGATAAAAGGGCGCGTCGATGACTGATCTGTACCTTTCTTGAGCATACTTTATTTGTGTTATTGTTTCATAACAGATCATTCTATCACGCACTCTCAATCAGCAGAAGTACAACGGCAAAATATGGTGCAGAACAACGCGTACAAACTGTAAGGTGGAAAATAATTCTTGTTATTCGGTTTCTGTTTTAACAACAGAGAATAAAATTATAAATATCTATAAGCACCACCTGATAAAATAGCCGGTACGAAAATTGAAATAGCCGAGTAAAGGTCCCGGTGTCCCAGGTCTAACAAAAACCCTGCTCATTGATGACGGTATTAAACGGAGTTCGACCGTATCATGACTTCTTATGAGGGAAATTTCATCAGTAACCGGCCACTGATTTTTTTGGTGGGAGTGCGACGCCTGTTTCTCTAAACCCTGACCCTATCTTAAATTAAAAAAATTTAGTTTTCCACCCCCTTTTTCAGACCCGGGCTCTAAAATCTATCCCCGTTTAGAACGCCAAATAAAAGATTTCTTAAAAACCATTTCGAATAGAGAGGAGAACGTTGTCATGGTAGCAAAATTTTAAGATGACAAACCAATGTTGGCGAAAACTTTATAGCGCCACTTATAATATATTTACGTAGAGATCTAAAAGTATTCAGGATAGCTGGAAAAGTGTTTTCCATCGTATGTAGGAGGAAACCGTCGTTGGGTGCTCCTGAATGGTGGGGGGTGATGTTGTGGACAAGACGTCTTTAAAGGTCCTCTAGTATGAACATGGTACACATGGTTCAGGTTTTGTTGTGCCTGGGGGAAGTGTTACCTTTTTCAGGACTAATTTCAGACCAAGTAGCGTTCTCAAGGAAAATTTCTTTGTCTTTTGTTGTTTTTTTGCTGAAAGAAGAGCTGAGCCTATATCAAGCGAATGGGAAAAAAATTGCAAATAACAGTCCTCTTGACCAAATACCGTGGGCTGAATTTCAAGACAATCAATAAATACTCAATAAACTGTGAAATTTGATACACTTAACATACATATAATTTTTGCAATAAACATGCAATTCCTGTAAATCTTCCTATTCATATTAAATTATACATCTTTTCATATTGTTATCATATAATTTGTCAGTGGGCATGTTATCCCTTCCTTAAAGTCAGGGAAAATCTTTGATATTGTCAAATTGAGGGAAAAGTCAGGGAATTCTGTTCTATGGTTTACAGTTCATAAGTTTTCCTCAAGACTTTGAAATGCATTTTCTTTTGGAAAAGATGAAAAGTATGCTGCAAAGCAAACAAAGCGTTCAATATGACACTCTATGCCTGACACATATAATAGTTGTGGTCAGTTGTTTTCATTGTTAATTCTTTCTTCTGAATTCCTTTTTCCTCTTTCTGCAAAGAGTGGAAAGAGCTTGCAAATGAAGAGAAAAAAATCAATAGCCTGAGCAAAAAGCTAAAGCGAACGTAAACATCGATTGTTTCTCTTGAATGAAGGGTCAGTGAAAAGTCAGGAAATTTTTTAACTTGCTGGTGAGTGGTAACCCTGTCCCTACTGGGGGTGTCTCAGCAATAGATTGTAAGTAATCCTCCATTGCAGTGACCCTGTCTTTAACTTCATCGGGAGAGGTCTTATATTGATACTGGTCTCCTCAGAAGAACATCATCTCCATTCAAACTTAATGCTTTCTCACCCACCGAGTAAAAAAATTTCACAAGCGAAGGTCCTTCACACAACATCTGTTAAAATGAATTGAATTGAAGCGATACGTTTGTCAGAATATTTCAAGCAATTCCTAGAACTCTATGGTGAATTAAGTGGCTTCGTTTAAATTGTATTCATTCTCTATTGCTCATCTGCTGTTAACTTTTATATAGTGTTATTTAAAGTCTGAAATAGGCGTTTGAAATAAGAGAGCACTCAAATTCTCAACAGCCCTGTCCCTTGCAATACAACTCTAGCTTCACTGGAAGGTCGCGTTTGCTCTTGTAAGATAAATCTTGGGTTTGTTTACACTTTTTTATGAACCATATCACAAGTTAACTTACCTCTGTGTCTCCACATTTCGCTCTGCAAGGAAACAAAACCATCTTTAATGGCTTTGACGATCTTCCATTGTTCTTCGGAATGAAACCCTTTCTGTTGGGTTATTCTTTCCATTAAATTTTTCCTGGCGAAATCGCCAGCTTCTGGCCCCCCATGGGCGTCAAAAATGGCAAAAATTTGAATCACGTGAACCAGGATTTCAGGAAACTGATGAAATCTTGCATGTTATCCTTTCCTTAAGGTCAGGGAAAATCTTTGATATTGTCAAATTGAGGGAAAAGTCAGGGAAGTCTGTTCTATGGTTTACAGTTCATAAGTTTTCCTCAAGACTTTGAAATGCATTTTCTTTTGGAAAAGATGAAAAGTATGCTGCAAAACAAGCAAAGCGATCAATATGACACTCTATGCCTGACACTTGTGATAGCTGTGGTCAGTTGTTTTCATTGTTAATTCTTTCTTCTAAATTCCTTTTTCCTCTTTCTGCAAAGAGTGGAAAGAGCTTGTAAATGAAGAGAAAAAAATCAATAGCCTGAGCAAAAAGCTAAAGCGAACGTAAACATCGATTGTTTCTCTTGAATGAAGGGTCAGTGAAAAGTCAGGAAATTTCTTAACTTGCTGGTGAGTGGTAACCCTGTCCCTACTGGGGGTGTCTCAGCAATAGATTGTAAGTAATCCTCCATTGCAGTGACCCTGTCTTTAACTTCATCGGGAGAGGTTTTATATCGATACTGGTCTCCTCGGAAGAACATCATCTCCATTCAAACTTAACCCTTTCTCACCCACCGAGTAAAAAAATTTCACAAGCAAAGGACCTTAACACAACATCTGTTAAAATGAATTGAATTGAATCGATACGTTTGTCAGAATATTTCAAGCAATTCCTAGAACTCTATGGTGAATTAAGTGGCTTCGTCTAAATTGTATTCATTCTCTATTGCTCATCTGCTGTTAACTTTTATATAGTGTTATTTAGAGTCTGAAATAGGCGTTTGAAATAAGAGAGCACTCAAATTCTCAACAGCCCTGTCCCTTGCAATACAACTCTAGCTTCACTGGAAGGTCGCGTTTGCTCTTGTAAGATAAATCTTGGGTTTGTTTACACTTTTTTATGAACCATATCACAAGTTAACTTACCTCTGTGTCTCCACATTTCGCTCTGCAAGGAAACAAAACCATCTTTAATGGCTTTGACGATCTTCCATTGTTCTTCGGAATGAAACCCTTTCTGTTGGGTTATTCTTTCCATTAAATTTTTCGTGGCGAAATCGCCAGCTTCTGGCCCCCCATGGGTGTCAAAAATGGCAAAAAAAGAATCACCTGACCCAGGGTTTAAGGAAACTGATGAAATCTTGTATGTTATCCCTTCCTTAAGGTCAGGGAAAATCTTTGATATTGTGAAATTGAGGGAAAAGTCAGGGAATTCTGTTCTATGGTTTACAGTTGATAAGTTTTCCTCAAGACTTTGAAATGCATTTTGTTTTGGAAAAGATGAAAAGTATGCTGCAAAGCAAACAAAGCGTTCAATATGACACTCTATGCCTGACACATATAATAGTTGTGGTCAGTGGTTTTCATTGTTAATTCTTTCTTCTAAATTCCTTTTTCCTCTTTCTGGAAAGAGTGGAAAGAGCTTGAAAATAAAGAAAAAAACTATCAATAGCCTGAACAAAAAGCTAAAGTGAACGTAAACATCGATTGTTTCTCTTGAATGAAGGGTCAGTGAAAAGTCAGGAAATTTTTAACTTGCTGGTGAGTGGTAACCCTGTCCCTACTGGGGGTGTCTCAGCAATAGATTGTAAGTAATCCTCCATTGCAGTGACCCTGTCTTTAACTTCATCGGGAGAGGTCTTATATCGATACTGGTCTCCTCGGAAAAACATCATCTCCATTCAAACTTAACGCTTTCTCACCCAACGAGTAATAAAATTTCACAAGCGAAGGTCCGTCACACAACATCTGTTAAAATGAATTGAATTGAAGTGATACGTTTGTCAGAATATTTCAAGCAATTCCTAGAACTCTATGGTGAATTAAGTGGCTTCGTCTAAATTGTATTCATTCTCTATTGCTCATCTGCTGTTAACTTTTATATAGTGTTCTTTAAAGTCTGAAATAGGCGTTTGAAATAAGAGAGCACTCAAATTCTCAACAGCCCTGTCCCTTGCAATACAACTCTAGCTTCACTGAAAGGTCGCGTTTGCTCTTGTAAGATAAATCTTGGGTTTGTTTTCACTTTTTTATGAACCATGTCACAAGTTAACTTACCTCTGTGTCTCCACATTTCGCTCTGCAAGGAAACAAAACCATCTTTAATGGCTTTGACGATCTTCCATTGTTCTTCGGAATGAAACCCTTTCTGTTGGGTTATTCTTTCCATTAAATTTTTCCTGGCGAAATCGCCAGCTTCTGGCCCCCCATGGGCGTCAAAAATGGCAAAAAAGAATCACCTGAACCAGGGTTTCAGGAAACTGATGAAATCTTGCATGTTATCCCTTCCTTAAGGTCAGGGAAAATCTTTGATATTGTCAAAGTCAGTGAAAAGTCGGGGAAGTCTGTTCTACGGTTTACAGTTCATAAGTTTTCCTCAAGACTTTGAAATGCATTTTCTGTTGGAAAAGACCAAAAAAAATGCTGCAAAGCAAGCAAAGCGATCAATATGACACTCTATGCCTGACACTTGTGATAGCTGTGGTCAGTTGTTTTCATTGTTAATTCTTGTGTCCAAATTCCTTTTTCCTCTTTCTGCAAAGAGTGGAAAGAGCTTGAAAATGAGGAGAAAAATATCAATAGCCGGAGCAAAAAGCTAAAGCGAACGTACACATTGATTGTTTCTCTTGAATGAAAGGTGAGTGAAAAGTCGGAATTTTTAACTTGCTGATGAGCGGCAGCCCTATTCCTGCTGGGTGTGTCTCACCAATAGATTGTAAGTGATCCTCCATTGCAGCGACCCTGTCTTTAACTTCATCGGGAGAGATCTTATATCGATACTGGTCTCCTTGGAAGAACATCATCTCCATTCAATCTTAACGCTTTCTCACCCACCGAGTAAAAAAATTTCACAAGCGAAGGTCCTTCACACAACATCTGTTAAAACGAATTGAATTGAAGCGATATGTTTGTTAGAAAGTTCAAGCAACTCCTAGAACTCTATGGTGAATTAGTTGCTTCATCTAAATTGTATTCAGTCTGTATTGCTCATCCGCTGTTAACTTTTTTATAGTGTTATTTCAATTCTGAAAGAGGCGTTTGAAATAAGAGAGCACTCAAATTCTCAACAGCCCTGTCCCTTGCAATACAACTCTAGCTTCACTGAAAGGTCGCGTTTGCTCTTGTAAGATAAATCTTGTTTTTTTTTTCACTTTTTTATGAACCATACCACAAGTTAACTAACCTCTGTGTCTCCACATTTCGCTCTGTACAGAAACAAAACCATCTTTAATGGCTTTGGCGATCTTCCATTGTTCTTCGGAATGAAACCCTTTCTGTTGGTTTATTCTTTCCATTAATTTTTTCCTGGCGAAATCGCTAGCTTCTGGCCCCCCATGGGCGTCAAAAATGGCAAAAAACTAATCATGTGAACCAGGGTTTAAGGAAAGTTTGATAATATCTTGCATGTTATCCCTTTCCTAAGGTCAGTGAAATTCTTTGATATATTCAAAGTCAATGAAAAGTCATGGAATTCTGTTTTACGGTTTACAGTTCATAAGTTTTCCTCAAGACTTTGAAATACATATTCTGTTGGAAAAGATATAGTATGCTGCAAAGCGATCAATATGACACTCTATGCCTGACACATGTGATAGTTGTGGTCAGTGGTTTTCATTGTTAATTCTTTCTTCCAAATTCTTTTTTCCTCTTTCTGCAAAGAGTGGAAAGAGCTTGTAAATGAAGAGAAAAATATCAGTAGCCTGAACAAAAAGCTAAAGCGAACGTAAACATCGATTGTTTCTCTTGAATGAAAGGTCAGTGAAAATTCAGGGAATTTTTAACTTGCTGATGAGTGGTAACCCTGTCCCTGCTGGGGTTCTCTCAGCAATAGATTGTAAGTAATCCTCCATTGCACTGACGCCGTCTTTAACTTGATCAGGAGAGATCTTATAGCGATACTGGTCTCCTTGGAAGAACATCATCTCCATTCAAACGCTTTTTCACCTACCATTGAAAAAAATTTCACTAGCGAAGGTCCTTCGCACAACATCTGTTAAAACGAATTGAATTGAAGTGATATGTTTGTCAGAATATTTCAAGCAATTCCTAGAACTCTATGGTGAATAAAGTTGTTTTGTCTAAATTGTATTCATTCTTTATTGTTCGTCTGCTTTTAACATTTATATAGCTTTACTTAAAGTCTGAAATAGGTGTTTAAAATAAGAGAGCACTCAAATTGTCAACAGCCCTGTCCCCTGTAACACAACTGTAGCTTCGCTCAAAAAGGTCACTTTCTCTTGGGATTTTTTTCACTTTTTATAAACTATACCACAAGTTATTTTAGATCTGTTTCCACATTTCCTTGTGTACATAGACAAAACCATCTTTAATTGCTTTGACGATCTGAAATGGGTCTTCTGAATAAAACCCTTTCTGTTGCGTTAGTTTTTGCCATAAGTTGTTCCTTGCGAAATCGCCCGCTTCTGGGCCCCCGTGGCCATCAGAAATGGGAAAAAATGTCTGCAAAACATTTTGCCGACTTGACAAAGTCATTGGCTTGGATGTGTCAAGAGGAGTCACTTGATTTAAGTGAGCTTTTCGAAGTCTCTATTGTTGAAGAGATTTTCCTTTTTTTCTGCTTTGATTCTGGCTACTTGCTAAACAAACTCACTTGTGGTCAGTTAAAGCTTATCACTTTTGTAATTTTTCAGTGCTAAGGTGCTCATATTTCACACGTGACACCTCGGCAACATAGTAATAATTAACTCAAATTGATAAAAAATCATTCCTGAGTAAAGCTTGTATGCTGTTGAGGCCTCAATTGTAATGAAGGTCCTAAGGGTAACAAATTTTGGCCCCTAAGGTAATAGAAGTCCTAAGAGTAGTAGAATAACTATTGGCCCTAAACTAGAAAAAGTCACAGTGACTGAAACATGCAAAAAATTGTGCCTTCTATCTAGATCAGGTAGCAAAGAGCAAGACTTCCATTTGAATCTATGCACATACACAAAAACAATACAAACGTCACCTTCACCTCACCTCACCTTCTTGGTAAATCCACTCTCAATTATAAGTATTGTGTTAGTGCATATTAACAGACTCAGCTCATGCAATCATTCATTCATAAGAACCTAGTAGAGAAAGCAGAACTAAACACGCACATCAAGCTCGGCTTTTCTATTCCCAAGTTCTTCCCAGACACCGCATTCATGACCTCTATAAGAAAAGGCCATTACTTTTCATTTCTGTCCAAACACGATCAAAATCAAAGTCCCTCAAACTCTTGAAGCTGTTCCTGTTGCTGTATAAAACTGAGCCATTGGAGCGTCTGCATAAAATTTGATAAGCTGCAGCTATTTCATCTTTGATGGCCAATTTTAGGGCTGTAAACACACTCGGGCAACGTTGCTTTATAACATCGGCAATAACAGCTGGTTGTGTGTTAGCTACTTGAATGAATTCTTCAGTGTCACCATTGATGATTTTGGGGTCGCCAGGCAGCAATGATTCATCCTGTAGTGCAGATGCTAGAGGCGAAAAGGAAAGAGTAGTGTCCTTCATGCACTCTTGTTGCATTGCTTGAGTTGGAGCATCTCCTAAGTTGAGTTGCTTAAAATAGCTTTCAGAGGTGTGACAGAGCTCCCTGGTTGAGTGCGTTGAAGGAAGCTTGCACAATGGGAAGAGCTTGGCAGAACGCTTCACTGAACACTTTTGTTTCAGCTCTATTTGCATTTGCATACCCCTTTCTCTAAAATCGCCTGCCCGGGACACAAATCCATCGCACTTTCCTGCATATCAGTGTCCAAAGGGAATCACTTTTAGTGATCTCAATTCCACGAACATTTTGAATCTTTAAGGCAAGGTCTTCCTCATTGCCTCCCTTTTTACTTGCTCTACCATACACAGTAATCAAATGATGGCTCTCAAATACATCGCAGCAAAGACGGCAAATTAAATTTCGCGGATGAATCTTTGTAAGAGTTGATTCCTCCATAAATACCCATACATTTCAGAATTTTTGCTATTTGTACGCAGCAAAAATGGCAAGTTTCACTAGGAGATTTTCGCTATGTCCTGGGAAAATTAATCACAATAAATTTAATGTATTTTTGAAGAAAAGCCCTCAGCCAATGAGGAAGGAGAATTGAGAACAAGGATTCATACATTAGCACTCATATGAATATTTAATAAGGACACGTGACCAGCCGATGCCAGGGCCTGTTCCCGGCCCTCTCATTTTTTAGGGAAAAGCCATGGGGATGAGGTTACATGTTTTCTCACGGCAAAGTTGAATCAAGTAACGGAAGAGGCAAAAAACCAAATAAACAAAGTACCTACAAAAAAACATTAACACAATTTCGAATGTTGAATAACACTCAACTCAATTTCTACTGGCTGCCTTGAGCGCAAATATCAATGAACAGTTTCCCGAACAAGACTGTATTCGCTTGTCATATAATAGTGGTGGCAAAGCTTCTGCAGCAATGTTACCCATTCCGGAACGCCTCTGGAGGTACAAAATTGTTTGGATCTCCCCTAACTTCACACTGCGGTCCTACAATACATTTATGCTGACAAAAGATGTGAGAAAACATTTACAAAGAAAACAACAAAAGAGTTAACAAAGTATAATAATAAACCCATATTTATATAATACCTGGAAATTTTAATTGTGAGATCCTTAAAGATAATTATATCATGTTCAGGAAATATCAATCTCACAATCGTGCTGGTGATGTGCTTATCGCAATCAAGAACGCTGCGTTCAAGTCTATACGCAAAATCCCTCTACCTGAACAACTACAAGAACTAGAGGTCGTAGCGGCTTCGGTCACCACTTCCCAAGATCGAGAAAGATTTTTATTTTGTTCTTTTTACCGCCGGATCTGGATTTGTGTTGGGTTAATTTATTCAATAATTTTCTGCACTGGGTTTGCGAGGACTTTGACAATATGGTAATCTGTGGCGATTTTAACTATCCAAAAATCTTATGGGACACCCCTGATACCTCCAGAGGTGCCAATGAACAAGCATTTTTATGTCGCGCACCGTGTTAAGTGGGTTACTTGGATTTTTGGTTCTGGTATTCTGTCCTTGTAAATTACATTTTGTTCCAATTTTATGCACATCCTCCTTTCACGAATCTTCCAACCGTGAAGGAATTCCAAGAATCTGTCACGTCACGCACGTCATATCCGCGTTACGTTTTAAGACCTGTCAGTCGTCAGCTTGTCCCGCTAAATTGACAAGTAATCGGATTAGCAAGATGGCTTCCAGAAATGGCAAATTAATTGATCAATTAAAATTGGTTCGTACTTCCACCAATGCGCATGTACCTCAAAAGGTAAACAAACTGAACGAGTTAATGGCAGAATGCGAAAACATCGAGGCACTTAACAAAGTTCGCGAGGAATTGCAGCAAGTCCTTCAGGAATTTCAGGTTGCCCACGAGGCTTATATGGTCTCATAAAAACTGAATCAGAACAGGAGGAGTCCTCACGATATTACAATTCAGTGCTCGAAATTGTATCAGAACTGGAACAGGAAATTACTTCATGGCTTAAAAAGCCAGCACTTCAAACTTCAGTAACGCCAATAAACGTTCAACCACGCGATTCCGTTAGCACCGTTGGGTCACGCGTATCCTTTCACACGTGTTCCGTCGCCAGCAGTTCAGCCAGCTCAAAGGTTAAGGCCGCCGCGAGAAAGACAGCACTTGAGGCTCGGGCAGCTGCCCTTCAAAACCTGCACGAGCTTCAAATCGAAGAAATGAGACTCCAGCAAAGGAAGGCACAGATAGAGCTTGAAGCTGAGATAGCCGAGGCTGAGGCCGAAAGGAGAGCTTATGAAGAAAATGAAGCAATCGAGCATCGAGAGATCAGTTCCCGCTCAAAAGAAAGGGATCCAAATGAACATTCACCCCAGCTAACTCCACAAGCCAAGATCGCCTCTACTCCGCGAGTGGGAAGTACCACAGGCAACCCAACCCCGAAAAGGCCCTTCCCAGCAGCTACTCCTTCGCGTGAACATCTCGATAAGCATAATGATGGGTCAATATCACTGAAGCATTCTCTGAATCCTCGCGCTCACGAATGGTATCCCACAGCCAGTCCAGTTCAGCAACACGTTTCTCCAGATTATAATCGTGCAATTAGCCTCCAAGACGAGTCATTCCAGTGCCTGATAGAAAACCACGAGCGTCAAAATCAAGCCATCCAGCAGCTTATTCAGCAGCAACAGCAAGGTGTGTTAGTGCTCACCTTACCGCAGCCGAGTCTGCAAGCGTTCAGGGGTGACCCTATCGACTTTTGTGACTTTGTGCGCGCCTTTGAACACATCGTAGAAAGAAAGACCTTGAGTTCAAGTGCACGTCTCTACTATCTTGTACAGTATACTTCTGGAGCCGTTCAAGAATTAATGGAAAGCTGTCTCTCCATGCGCGAAGAAGAAGGATATACAGAGGCAAGGAGGCTGCTTCAAGAACGCTATGGGCAGAATTATAAGATTGCCGCCGCACACGTAAAAAGGCTGGTAGATAGCGCAACAATCAGAACTGATGATGGACCAGCTTTACAACAGTTTTCTATTCAACTAACTAGCCGCGTTAATACATTGAAGGAAATCGGCTACCTCAATAAGCTCAATAACCCAGACAACCTGAAGAAGATTATAGACAGGCTTCCTTATGCTATGAGAGTTAAGTGGCGAGATACGGTCGACCAGATCGTAGAGAGGGAAGCGAGAGATGTCACCGTGGCCGATATAATGAAGTTTGTAACTGCCAAGCCAAGAGCAGCATCTCACCCGATCTTTGGAAACGTCTCTAGCGAAGGCAAGACAAAGCAGCTCCCTATCAAACAAAGGACGAGAGGTCCTAAGGCTGACACGTTCTCATCTCTCGGGAAGAAAGAAGATAGCCAGTCAGCAAACAGGAAACCAGAGTGGCCTTTGTGTAGCGCCGATCATTGGCTACCGCGGTGCGATAAGTTTCGTAAGCAGTCCTTAGAAGAAAGGCAAAAGCTAATCCAAGAAAGTCAGCTTTGTTCTAACTGTCTCTTCCCTGGTCACTTCGTTCGTTCATGCCAGAAAGAAAGCTTCTGTAGGGTGCGAGGTTGTACATCCAAGCATTCAACCTTCCTCCACCCAAACAGCAACAAGAACAGTTATAAAAACTCCGGTGAAAACAGTGGCAGCTCGAATCGAGCTTCAAACTCTGAGCCGAAACCTAACAGTAACGCTAATCCAGCAGCAAGCAACGGCTATGCCAAGGTAAGTTTTTCCGCAGGTACAACCGTCGCAGGACTCGCAATACTACCTGTTTGCGTAAAGGTGAAGGATGGTAAAGATGCAATTCAGACTTACGCCTTCTTGGACTCCGGTTCCAATACCTCCTTTTGCACCGAAACTTTGCTGCAAAAGTTAAATATCAAGGGAAAGAAAACAAACCTTTCTTTCTCTTACAACACTTCAAGGAGAAAACGAACCGATCGAATGCTCAATGATCAGTCTCCTGGTGTCAGATCTTCACCAAGAAAATTCCTTCGAAATTCCAATGGTTTACTCCAGGCCTAGTCTTCCTCTTTCCCATGAAACCATAGCAACGCAAGAAGATGTTAATCCTTGGCCTCATCTCAAGGGAGTGACCATACCGCAAATCGAAGCTGAGATTGGCCTTCTCATCGGTAGCGACGTGCCTCAATTATTACAGCCACAAGAAATTAGAAAGAGTGAAAACGGAGGACCATTCGCAACTAAAACAATCCTTGGCTGGGTCCTTAACGGTCCCCTTGGAAGAGACACGCCCAAGTCACTGACGGTCAAGTTCAGCACTCAAACCAGCAAGTCTTTAGAGGAGCAGTTTCGCGATTACTGCAACCAAGAATTTAACGACTCCAACCTAAATTCCAAGGCATCTATGTCGCTGAACGACCGAAGAGCGTTGGACATAATGGAAGAAACACTTCAGCTGAAGAACGGCCACTATGAAATTGCTCTCCCATGGAAAACGTAGCCTCCAAACTTAATAAATAACCGATCAGCTGCCGAGCGCCGTCTAAGTCTTCTAAAGAAACGACTTACGGTACCCGCCCAGGCAAATTTTCATGTTTTCAGATCTGATTTATTTTAAGCCCAATTGCAGTTTATGTCATCTAATATTCAAAAAAAAAGGTTTTTTTTGAATACAGAGAAGAGTTAATGCTCCAGAAGGTTGCAAAGTTTTGCATTTAAACCGGAAGTCAGCCCCTTTGACCGAGGAAGGATCTGGGCTGGTTACTAGGTGTTCATGCTGTGCGCGCAATATTATCCAGCGGTTTCACCGAAAAAGATTTGCTGGACATCGATCTGGAAATCAAGATGGCGGCAAATAGAGGCGTTCTTCTCGCCAAGCAAGAGGCCGCATTTGAAGCGTTCCGTGCTGAATTTACAAAAGAAGGGTATGTTCATTGCCGTCTTTTCATTGATTCTATTTTTTCTTTATTTCATTGACGTTATCTTATTTTATTGCAGTCTCACCATTCCAGAAGGACTGATAGCGCTCTTGAAAACTACGAAAGTCAAGGCCAACCACTCTCCGGACGAGAGCCGAGCACGGCTTTACAAACGCCTTTGGTGTATTTTGTGGGTAAGTCGCTATACTCTTCGAAAAGGCCATTCCTTCAGTATTAAGTAGAAGAGGTCCTTCACTAGTCAATGCGTTGGCAGTGCTTACAAAGTATAAATATTATCACTTGTCGGTTCTCGTGCGTGTGAAAATGTTACTTTTCTTTAGCGGCTAGTAATCCACGTTGTGTAACTAATTTCTTCAAATACACTGCTACTTTTCTTGTGTGAACCTTCCATGCAGTGTCAATGATTGATTCAAGGCAACGGACATTTTTAGTTAGATGAAATGTTCAACAGCAACTTCATTTTTACTAATTCATTTTGTTCACCTCTTTTGTATAGCATGGAAGTAAAAAAACGCTTGGAGCTGGTGCAGGAGAATGGCCTACATATGTTTATCCTGAAGCGTTAAAAAGGGTCGTTAGAGAATCTATACCCGGGGATGAAGTAGATAGGCCAGACCCCACACATAAGAGGGTAAGTTTAGTGTTTCTGTACTTGTTAATCCAGGATTGATTTTCCCTTTTTTAAAAAACTATCAAATATTGTTTGTTTTGTAGGGTTCTAAACAAAACAGTCACTTTCAATATCAATGGTAGTTATCACTATCATGTGGTTTGTTTTTTCTTCTCAACTTTGGATTTATAACTGCAAAGATCTTTTTGAGAGGAAAAGAAGAATATTTGGGTGGATCAACTAATTTAGGCACTAAATAGATACCATTCGCATATCCATTTTTTTTAATCAAACAATATCTTTTAAATGCTACAAACATCTGGAATTTTACTTTCTACAGTAGATATTGGTTGATAAACCCACTTCTTATTTATAATGTATGTCTTCCAGGTATACAAGGTGACAATGGCAGACCTTGCTGCGGCAACATGGCCTCAGTACAAAACAAAGAAAACCCGTTGACAAAAGCCGATGATGATACATATTTACATATTTCATTATCTTTCCCGTGGATTATAATGATTAAAATATCAATTTTTATTACAATTTTTGAATCAAAGATGGTTGAATAAAAAAGATGTATAATTTTTACAGAGAGATACAAATATTTATAAAAAAAAGCCATAAACAAAGCAGAAATGGAGATAATATTCTACCACAGGTGTACTCCATGCGAATGATTTTCATAATTATTTAAAGAGCTGAGATGTTTGGATAAAAAATATAATTTTACTCAGCAAGTGTTATATAAATATAGATCTATAAGCCCAAAAATTTGTGGAGAATTATTTGTCACTGACTGCAATTCACACTTTTTTGATTTTTCATTTTTTTAAAAAAAGAATTTGATTTTTTTACCCCAGATAAGCAGAAAACAACAACATATTTGAAACTGTTTTTTAAGATGTAATAAAGAGACCAAATGTAAAGATTTGTTTGTATTTTGCTTATGTTCTCGGGGAGTTGAATATAACTGTTTGAAAATTGCCCTGTGGCAAGTTACTTTATATGCTCATTCCAAAAGAACTTACTAAAATAATTAATAATGTAATCTCTCACTGTCTTTTACTAGACACAAACAGACAATGATAAAAAGTGTATTGCCAAATAAGGTTTACATGAAGTCCCACAACAAGAAACAAAAAATCTCAAAAATAGTCTTGTTGTGGAAGTGTTCAAAATTACTTCAAATTTTCAACACAGCCACAACAAGACTTTTGGAAATGAAACATGTGCTTACATTGTAAGTGTGTGTGGGAATGTTTTGCCTAATAATAGAAAGGATTTCATTACAGCTGAATCATTTGTTAGTTCTTTTGTTTAGAGGACAGGCTGAGTGTGTGGTGCGTTGATGTTGATTGGAGCCACACTTGCAGGTTTTGCCACTGATCAACGTTACTTCATTGTTAGTTTCTGCTGAACCACCAATGGCCTCCCTGGCTGCAGAAACCAAGCTGGGGTTTTCATCTTCCTCTTGCATACTTGTTTCCTCTCCATATGTGTGCTGTACTGCTTGCCGTTTTACCCATTTTTTTCTTGCTTCCTGCTCTTCAGCTCTAGCTACTTTCATTCTAATTCTTGTCTGCTTTTTATGTGCTGTCCTCCCTCTTTCTATTTCCATCATGCGGTCTTCAACTTCCTTTTGAAGTGCTTGGACAATTGATGGAATGACAGGCAGTTGCAGTCTCTCATATAAGTCAATTATCCAGTGATAACTGTTGCCACGGACTTTGAAACACCAAGACATATTCCCTTGGCAAAAACCACAGTTTGTAGATGTCACATAGTGCAGCCTAAAGAAAAGTATTGGTATAATTAATACAAGGACTTGTTTGAAAACAAAGTATTGAGCTTTTTGTACACACAACATCAAACATTTTAAAACATTATTTGATTCAACTGAACAGAGAAGTCTCATTCAGCTGGTAAGAATACTGACACAAAAACCGCGACCTACATTACATATATATAGAGAAAAAGGAAAACCAGGAACCATTATTATTGTGAAATAAGGGAAGTCTTTCTCCAATAACCAGACAGTAATAAATGACTAATCAAAACCAATCCAAGCCAACTTACTCCAACTAAAATTATTGGTGGTAGGTTCCAATGAAGAAGGCTTAGGTGGAATAAAACCAAAGTTGACTCTTAGTCCAGTGTCGAATTCTCTCACACTTCACAACAAAATACACATGTATATGTTGTGGTTCAATTTCATCCTTGGTTTAAATTTTATTTTCTTTTGTTTTTGGGTATGGTAATGTATGATAATGATTTTGAAACAAAAGAAAATAAAATTTAAACCAAGGATAAATTTGAACCACAACATATACATCAGATTGCAAGGAGAATTCAACAGTTAATGAGAAGTCACTGGGACTTAATGCTAGGAAATACAGCAATTTTCATTTTACGAATTTCTAGAAAAAATCTATGTGCATCTTACCTGCAAAGGTTCTGATCTTTAGCTCTAAAGTCAGGCAGTACAGTGAAGTGGGCTTCACAAAGGTTTGAGTGTCCCCTGCCCATGGTAGGGTGAATAACACTCATTGCATCTGCTGCTCTGTGCTCACATTCCAGACGGTAAGCCATGCGGTGATACTCACAAGTAAGTTTTACTTTGGTTTTATATGGCTGCCCTTCACATTCAATGTCTTCATCCTCTTCACAGTTTTTGCATGAACAGACCGTATTGTCATGAAAGCCACAAGTATCTCCATTCCCCCACTCATGGATATCACGGCAGTGATATTCTCCTAATGCTCTCAACCGTCTTGCATACTCCTCTGGAGTATCGCATTGCTGTAGACAACAGAAATGATTAATACGAGCAGTTGTAAGAAAACTGTCACTAAGACACCCACAACCAGCTTTATGTCTCTCACATTTGCATTTTAGAGTTCTCACTGAGGGAAACTGTGCCTCATATTTCCTTTTGATATCTGTGGAGAATTCTTTTTTTTTGGCAGCTTCTTTTAATTGGTTGATATGGGCCCTGCCTACGTGTCCTCCACACCGAAAAACTTTTCCATTGGGATGATGCTGAGCAATTGCCTTGGCTGCACTTGAGTCACCATCTTGCCAGACAACTTCCACTTTGCAGCCTTCATCTGCTGCCTGCTTATAGCATTCCTCTGCAAGGATTCCTTCCATAGATTTTGAGGTACCCTCAAATAAATCTTCTTCAATGATATTGTCTTTGCCTCGCATACACTTGTGACCAAACCACAACAATCCACCAGTCAAATAATTTTTGATAATGAATGACCCATTTTTGCTGAAATGTCCACGTGTGTGCCACACTCCGTCGGAAGTCACCACTGCCTTTTCCCAGCTGCCCAGTTGATCATTCCTTAATGCCCTCATGTTGTTTTTCTCTTCTTCACCCATGCCATTTAAAATGTCTGTCACATGCGGATAAACAAGTTTTATGACCTCAAAGTAGGGATTTTTGGAAATACAAGTAATCCCTAGGCACTGCCTCAAGACTCGTGAAAATTTTGCATAACCATGCCCAGTGATAAAAAAAGCCACAGCCAGTGCAAGCCCCACAACAGTTCTTCTTGAGCCTTCCACAAGTGCAGACCCATTGAAGTTTACCGCTCGAAGCCGACATCCATTGCATAAAAATGTGACATTCAGTGACCCTCCAAGTCCTGTTGGTTCCACTTTTGTAACCACCAATATACCTGCCATGAGGATAAAAAATAAACAGAGATATCAACTGATGTAAGCTGGTCTCTTCAGAATATATGTTGAAAAGAAAAAGGAATTTAAGTGGGCTTTCACAATTGAAAGTAATAGCACTTATTGTCAAAAACACACAGATCACTGGTCATTGTTGGGACAAGTAAGTTGTGAGACGTTGCTGATCAAGAGAATAACTGTAAGTCTAATACGTTTTATTTTATACCTACTTGTTCATTTCCATTTCACTTATCAAACACATACCACGGGAAGAAAATAATTTATTACGAAACCAGGAGAACAATGTGGTTTCTATGCTGTTAGCCATGAGTGAAAAATAAAATAAAAAGTAAAAGCCGAAACAAACAAATTTAGTTCGCAGAATATAGTCGCTTACCATTGCAGTCTTTTGTAGAGCATTGTGATGTCTTGTTCACTTGATGAACTAAATCCATCAGTTGTGTGGACTCGCACACGAAAAATCTCCGCTCAAGGCTATTTGTTTCGGTGTCATCAGATGTGAGAGTTTTGCTGAGCTTCTGCACTCCTTTTTCGTCATCAGCCGGCTCACATTCCCACTCGCTTGACTCATCTTGCGGAATCGACTCTTCTGTAGATGAGCGGTCATCCAGGCATTCCTTCATATTTCTTTTGACCAGAGTTTTCTCAACCTCTTTTTGTGTTTTATAAATGGTCTTCCCAGGGCTTTCAAACTCAACGCGCTTGCGTCCGCCATTTGTAAAAACCAATTGCCTCCACTTCGCAGGAAGAGTAAATTTTTTACGACTACCTTCTCCAAGTCCCCTAACTTCCGCCGATTTCGCTCCTCTTTGCTTTCTAAGTTTTTTCCACTCTGCCTTTGACAAACGCTTTTTCTTTTTCGGTGGAGCCATTTTGATTTTGACCGGATATGACTCATGCTGAGATACTTGAATGGTTCTTGAATGACGTATAAGGCAACCACGCCTAGCAACGAACAAACAAAACAAAAACTTCCTACCGGGGAGGGGCCAGTAGAGAGAGAAAAAGCAGCTACTGCGATATCTGTAAACCTCTGAACAGCGGTAATAGAAACAATATGGCGGATAAAGCTTCGTAAACGATCGTAGAGCTAATCTGCTTCATTTCTTGTTGAGAAAAACAAATTTTCGTCTCGTTAACAATGCAAATGATGGACTTCTATCAGGAAATGTCATTTTTTAGAAAACTGAATGGCTCTTTTGCCGAGAAATTTGGCGTACGTTTAAAATATGTTAAGAGGCAGAAACGCTAGTTTGGGTGAGTTGAAATAAGCAAATGCTGGTTTATTGCAGGTTGACAAAGTCTGGTAAAATTGAAATGGCCATAACACGAGAATTATACATCCTTACCTTGTGGTCAAACTAACGTTTGTGCATTTTCTTAGACATAGGAGAATGGTACTTTCCTTTATTTAAAATTTCCAAAACCAACAGAGAAAAATGAAAATCTCTTCCCAGAACCAAGTTAATTATTAACTTCACAGACACCGCAGGAGGGTAGCAGTTAAAACGCCACTGCTTTTTTTCAGGTTTTAAATCACAAAAGATTGTTTTTGTGTTGATATGGTGTCCACTTGATGCAAATTTAGCTTTCATTCGTTGGTTGAAAATGCCCCAAAATAGACTGGGCGGGTACCTTAAAAGAGAACCGCCAGTTCACGGGAAATATAGAGATTTTATGGACGATCTATTAAAAAAGGATTATGCCAGAAAAGTCAACTGCCAAGACATAGGACCACTAGGCACTCACTGGTACCTCCCTCATCATCCAGTGTTTCACCCGAAAAAGCCAGATAAAGTCAGAGTGGTTTTCGATTTCCCCCTCGAAGCACTTTGGCACCTCGCTGAACGACCAGCTGTTACAGGGGCCGGACCTGACTAACTCTCTTGTCGGCGTCCTCTCTCGATTCAGAGAAGAACAAATCGCACTAATGGCTGACGTGGAGGCAATGTTACATCAGGTACGCGTCCGTCCAAGCGACTGTGATGCGCTTCGGTTTCTATGGTGGCCAGACGGTAACCTCGACAATGAGCCACAGGAGTACCAGATGAGAGTTCATCTATTTGGAGGCGCGTCTTCTCCAAGTTGCGCAAACTTCGCTCTGAAGAAGACAACACAAGACAACAAGACCGAATTTCATCTTGAAACCATCAAGACTGTAGAGTGCAACTTCTATGTCGATGACTGTCTCAAGTCAGTCAGCTCCGAAGAACTGGCTGTCAACCTTTCAAGTCAATTAAGGGAACTTCTTGCCCGAGGAGGATTCAAACTTACTAAGTGGCTCTCTAATTCACAAAAAGTCATCGAGTCCCTGCCAGCTTCGGAAAGAGCTGCGCAAGTTAAAGATCTAGACTTCGAGAAATTGCCAGTTGAAAGAGCGCTTGGTGTTCAATGGAATATATCATCCGATCAATTCGGATTTAGAATTGTCATCAAGGACAGACCGGCGACAAGAAGAGGGATTTTATCTATCGTGAGCTTAGTTTATGACCCCCTCGGATTTGTCGCGCCGTTCATACTCAACGCCAAGCCTATTTTGCAAGACCTATGCCGCAAGAAATTAGACTGGGACGACGTTATTCCTGAAGACATCATGCGTCGCTGGCAGGCCTGGTTACAAGAACTTCCTAAACTAGAACAAGTTGCCATCGACCGCTGCTTTAAACCACCCAACTTCGGAGAGGTCAGTTCAACCCAGCTGCACCACTTTTCCAACGTGTCACAACAGGGTTATGGCGCTGTAACTTACCTCAGAATTACAGACCGGAGTGGTAATACTAAGTGCTCGTTTGTTATGGGCAAATCAAGACTTGCACCAATGAAATCAGTAACCGTTCCCATAATGGAGCTTTCAGCAGCTGTTGTAGCAACAAGGCTGGACACAATGTCGCGCAAGGAACTCAGTCTTCCTATTTCTGAATCGTTTTTCTGGACCGACAGCACCTGCGTCCTGCGTTACATTGAAGATGAAGACAAACGATTTCAAACATTTGTGGCAAATCGAATAGCAACCATTCACGAAGCATCGTCTCCGGACCAGTGGCGATACGTAAATCCAGCGGACGACGCTTCAAGAGGTGTGTCAGCAGACTCTCTTCATCGTTGGATATACGGCCCAGAATTCCTGATTCAGCCAACTGATGAATGGCCACAGCGATCTGCTGACATGATTGCTGTCATACCTGACGACGATCCAGGGGTCAAGGCAGAAATAGCTACTTACTCGACCAGAACTTCTACTCGCGATCCCGTCGGTGAGATCATAGAAAAGTTCTCTTCGTGGTCTCACCTCAAGAAAGTGGTGGCCTGGATTCTTCGCTACAAGACTAACCTATACAATCTGGTGAAGAACGAAAGGCGCGAAGAACCACCTAAGAGCAAGTCGCCAAGTAAAAGCAGCACAATCAGTCCAATCAGTGTTACAGAGCTGAACAACGCTGAGTCTGCGATCCTCCAGTACATTCAGAATAAATCCTTTAAAGGAGCTACGTCACGACCTGTGCATGTGCAGGATTTTTGCCTGCTCTGTTGATTTTCTCAACTGTCCGCCATATTGGATTTAGGAAATCAGGCCGATTTTTGGCAGCAAACCTCCGTTTATAGTACGTTTACAGTACAGTTTTTGCTCGTATAGAAGAAAATAATTTATTACGAAACCAGGAGAACAATGTGGTTTCTATGCTGTTAGCCATGAGTGAAAAATAAAATAAAAAGTAAAAGCCGAAACAAACAAATTTAGTTCGCAGAATATAGTCGCTTACCATTGCAGTCTTTTGTAGAGCATTGTGATGTCTTGTTCACTTGATGAACTAAATCCATCAGTTGTGTGGACTCGCACACGAAAAATCTCCGCTCAAGGCTATTTGTTTCGGTGTCATCAGATGTGAGAGTTTTGCTGAGCTTCTGCACTCCTTTTTCGTCATCAGCCGGCTCACATTCCCACTCGCTTGACTCATCTTGCGGAATCGACTCTTCTGTAGATGAGCGGTCATCCAGGCATTCCTTCATATTTCTTTTGACCAGAGTTTTCTCAACCTCTTTTTGTGTTTTATAAATGGTCTTCCCAGGGCTTTCAAACTCAACGCGCTTGCGTCCGCCATTTGTAAAAACCAATTGCCTCCACTTCGCAGGAAGAGTAAATTTTTTACGACTACCTTCTCCAAGTCCCCTAACTTCCGCCGATTTCGCTCCTCTTTGCTTTCTAAGTTTTTTCCACTCTGCCTTTGACAAACGCTTTTTCTTTTTCGGTGGAGCCATTTTGATTTTGACCGGATATGACTCATGCTGAGATACTTGAATGGTTCTTGAATGACGTATAAGGCAACCACGCCTAGCAACGAACAAACAAAACAAAAACTTCCTACCGGGGAGGGGCCAGTAGAGAGAGAAAAAGCAGCTACTGCGATATCTGTAAACCTCTGAACAGCGGTAATAGAAACAATATGGCGGATAAAGCTTCGTAAACGATCGTAGAGCTAATCTGCTTCATTTCTTGTTGAGAAAAACAAATTTTCGTCTCGTTAACAATGCAAATGATGGACTTCTATCAGGAAATGTCATTTTTTAGAAAACTGAATGGCTCTTTTGCCGAGAAATTTGGCGTACGTTTAAAATATGTTAAGAGGCAGAAACGCTAGTTTGGGTGAGTTGAAATAAGCAAATGCTGGTTTATTGCAGGTTGACAAAGTCTGGTAAAATTGAAATGGCCATAACACGAGAATTATACATCCTTACCTTGTGGTCAAACTAACGTTTGTGCATTTTCTTAGACATAGGAGAATGGTACTTTCCTTTATTTAAAATTTCCAAAACCAACAGAGAAAAATGAAAATCTCTTCCCAGAACCAAGTTAATTATTAACTTCACAGACACCGCAGGAGGGTAGCAGTTAAAACGCCACTGCTTTTTTTCAGGTTTTAAATCACAAAAGATTGTTTTTGTGTTGATATGGTGTCCACTTGATGCAAATTTAGCTTTCATTCGTTGGTTGAAAATGCCCCAAAATAGACTGGGCGGGTACCTTAAAAGAGAACCGCCAGTTCACGGGAAATATAGAGATTTTATGGACGATCTATTAAAAAAGGATT